GGAATGGATGAACTTCTTTCTGTATTCCCTGTTCAGACAAATAGTCATTCATTTGTCAGTTCAACAAACATTTCCTGATTGCCTGCCAAGTGCCAGCCACTGGGGAAACAAGTATGAATTAAGACCCTTTCCCTACTTCTACCAGTGGTTTCTGAGTGGGGGTGGCTACCACCACACCTGGGGGCATTGAGGTGCTTTTGTTGTTGATGTCATAATGACTGGGGGCACTCCTGGCAGAGCCCAGGGTCACAAAAATTTTCCAATGCAAGGGGTACTCCTCAATGGGAAGAGACCATCCAGCCACCCCACCCCCACCTCACCCACAGGGCTTCCTGATAGAGCTTGCAGTCTAATCGAGAAAAGAGGAAGAAGGGGAAACATCCTGTCACATGAGAGATTTTGTAGAATTGCATGGCCCAAGGGAGGCATCAGTATTCCACCTTGGGGTCATCGTGGTGGGAATTTCTGTAATATGCCAAAGAAAGGCTTTGACCCAACAAAGGAGTCTCTAATTTAAATGAAATGATAAAACCAAAAGCCAAAGAACCAAAATATAAATAGTTTATGGTGAAAATTACTATTCCTCATTTTTATGATAAATCACAAAAAGGTAGGTGAAGATAATAGAATATGGCATTCCAGTTCTTTCTCAAAGGACGTTAAGTTCATTATAGCTCTTTTGTAAGTGCCCAGAAACCATCATGGAATGATTGTTGCATTTTTCCCCACTCTGCCTTTTGGGGAGAAAATATCAAGAGGGAGGAAATTTTCCCCCCACAGAAGTCATGTGAGTGGAAGAGCAGAGTGTAGCATTTAACTAGACCAGGGTTCATCAGTTTGCATGACTGACATTTTAGGCAGAAGAGTTCTTTTTTGTGGAGACTGTCCTGGGATTGTAGGATGTTGAGCAGCATCCCTGGCCTCTGCCCACTAGATGCCAGTAGCACCGCCCCCCCGAGTTGTGACAACCAAAAATGTCTCCAGACATTGACAAATGTCCCAGAGGGAGGGATGCAAAATTGCCCCTGATTGAGAGCCATTGAACTAGATCTTGTTTTCATCCCCCTCAAGCCCAAGTCAGACATTCAGAGTCTATCAGAACTTAGCCACACTGGCTTTTTAGGTGTGTGAAGAGTGTAGTTTAAAAATGTCCACTGGCACAGGGGCGCCTGGGTGGCTCAGTGGGTTAAGCATCCAACTCGATTTCAGCTCAGGTCATGATCTCAGGGTTGCGGGATCGAGCCCCCTGTTGGGCTCAGCCCTGGGCATGGAGCCTGCTCTAATATCCTCTCTCTCACTCTCCCTCTGCCCCTCCATCACCACCCAAATTGTGCTCGCTCTGTCTTAAAAAAAAAAAAAAAATTGTCCACTGGCAGTGAACTCTGTCTTTTTCATGGGCAGAGGGAACCATTGGAAGCTATGTTACCAACTGGCTCTCTCTTTCTAGAGACAGGAGTTGGCATTTCATGCTGTCTTCCCAGCATTGTGCTCTTCTTCCTGCTGATTGCTCAAAGGAGAACCTACAGGAGCCTCAGGGATAATGACAATTTCTCTTTTACCTCCATAGCACAACTCCCAGGTGTATGAGTAATGCTGTTACCTGAAGCATCTTTTTAAATCTCCAGAGAGAGCTACAGGAAATTACAGCATATTGCAGGGAATGGTGATGCTGAAGAGGAAAGAAAGTCCTCTTCTTTGAATGGAAGAAAGAAAGGAAGGAAGGGAGAGAGAGAGAGAGAGAGAGAGAGAGAGAGAGAGAAGAAAAGAGAAAAGGGAGGGAGGGAGGGAGGGAGGGAGGAAGGAAGGAAGGAAGGAAGGAAGGAAGGAATTATGAGCAAGATAATTCTGAAGCCAGCTTGATTTAGCTCCTTTTCCACTGGAAATTTCAGGCCACCCTCAAGGGTGTGTGCCTGGGATCTGGTTTGTCCCATGTGGTTAGTCCATTTTAAGAATGATGCCACACTTGGGTCGCTCTTTTCTCCACGGTTGCACATCTGGGTTCAGTGGCCACCCCCCCTCCCCTCCCTTGGTCCCTGGTGAGAAAGAACTTGCCCTTCCTTCCCTGTCCCAGAGCTCCGAACTCCTTCTGCGGGAGAGGAAAGCTGTTTGGGTAAGAAGCAGTATCAGTGTGGACGTTGGTGTCTTTATTTGTCTTGCATTCAGCTTTGAGTGTCCACGGCTTCTCCAAGTCCCCCAGCAAAGTTTGGCTGTGCTGGGGAAGATGGATCTTCAGAAAGCTTTTTGGGAACTTGAATGAAAGTGACAGAATTTCCCCCCTGCCAACAAATCACCAACTGTAACCTCCAACCCACAGAAAGGGATTGGAAAATAGATGTAGATGATGAGTTGAAATTAAGAAAAAAAAAAAACCCACTTTCTGTTTTATCTGCATACAAAAAATTGAAACAATTCATGATTTGGGTGGAGTGGTGGTGGTAGTTTGTGTTCTTTGGATGCTTACCCTTTGCCAGCTACAGTAAATACTTTATATGGAATATTTTACTTAATTTTCCCCCAAAACCCTAGATAGTGGATTCTGATATTATCCCCATTTTATAGATGAGGACGTTGAGGCTCTGTGGGTTTTAGGAGCTTGTACAGGGTCTTAAGGGGCAGAGATTTAAGTCAGGTGTCTTTCTCATAGGAGACTTGGCTTCTGCCAACCATGCCCTACAACAGTGCTTTTCCCCCTTTAGTGTGAACCCCCCAGAGGCTGCGTGAGCACTGGGATTGCTGACCTCACTCTAGAGTTTCTGATTCTGGAGTGGGCTGAAATCTTGCATCTCTCACCAGTTCCCCTGATGATGTTGATGCTTCTGGTTTAGGCACCACACTTTGAGAACCCTGACACCACATCCCACTTTTCAGAAAATAGTATAAGCACCGACTTTGAAAATCTGGAATGAAAATGACTGAGGTGGAACTGAGCACTGACTTTAGACCTGTGCACAGCGAGATAACAGCCCGGTTTCTAGAGCATCTCTTCTGAGAGCATGGTGTCATGAGACAAAGATAATTGACCTGTTGGAGGTTTTATTCTGGTATTCCCTTTGCTGCCCGACATTTCCGAGAATACAGTCACACTGCATCATTAAATAAATGTACCACCTCCATTCACTCATTTACTAAAACTCCATTTTTGAAGTTCAGTAGTTTTCCATTAGAAGGATGACATTTCATTTTCAAACTACACTAGTTCAGTTTCTTTTGATTCCCTAAGACCTAGTATATGCTGATTTTGTGGAAACACTGTGACCATTGTGTTGGAAAACATCATCAGAATGCATACTCATGAGCCCATAGGGTAGACTTACCGCAAAGAATTGTTTCCAAATCTTGGATCAGGTCTTGTGTCCAATGAACTAATTCAACAAAAACTCTTAGGTGATTTTATTGGTAATAAGAATAAGTAAAAAGTAATAAGAGAAATGTCATTTAAAAGTTTCCTGATTATGGGTACTACCAAAACAATAGGCACTTTGAGAACACATTTTTGCGTTCTGACTGAGTTTCACCGGAAGTAAGATTCCAAAGGCACATTTGAAACCTGAAATAACGCTAAATCAGCTTGTCGATAATCTGTTCTGAAGCCTTCTGTGCTAGTTCAGGAGAAAGGCTTTGGCACCTTACCTCTCTGCCACTTAATAGCCAAGATAACAGCCCAGGTGTGAAACCACCAATAAAACAGACAATTGTCCTACAAATGGATTCAGGAAAAAAACAACATCTTGAAATTTGCTGCAGTGCTTTTGCTATAAGAAATGTTATACTAAACTATCATATGGAACTGAATTCCACACACATTCTAAAGGGAAACAGAGACGGGTGGTATGTGGGGCTCCGTGAGCTCCTTGGGCTCCTTTTCCTAAATGCCTTAGGCAATATCAATTCCACAGGGAGAACTTTAAAACAACAACAACAGAACATTAATCATCTGGTGACTTCATGAGTGGTCAAACAGTTTCCTTCAGTTTTGAGGTCAGGAATAAACTACCTGTGTGCTGTTTTGTGCTAGCAGCCGCAGCTAGACATATCCAGAGGGTGAATTTTCCAGAACCAAACCAAGGATTCTTGTGAGCTTCTATTTTCCAGCACATAGTAACTGGAAGCTATTTGCTAAAGACCAAGACCACTCTTTGTTTTTCTCATGAACCGACTGCTGCATTGGAATTAGCACAGTGCAGAGGTGAGGGAACCTGCCCTCTGGCTGGCAACAAGGGGCAGGTTGGCATTTTCTTGGAGACGCTCAAATGAGGAGCAGAGGCAGGTTGTGCAGCCTCGCAGACACTGTTGCTCTGAGACTGTGTCTTCATCTCCTGCCTCCAAGCACAACCAAGGAAACCTTCAGGGCTGTTCCCCCCAGGGAAGTGGGGTCCAAAGGGATGCTTCGGAGGATTTTTTTTCCCCTCCTGCATCTGTGGCTGCCCAGAGGTATTTATCAGCGTGTACAAAGCAAAGCCCCTGTAGTGTAAAGTAAGATGCTCCCCAAAGCGGTTTAGGAGACGTGGGCTGGTGTGTGTGTGTGTGTGTGTGTGTGTGTCTGCAGAACGTGCAAGCAAGAGCGCTGAAATGCAGCTCTCATCTTTGCCTGCAAAGAGTCTCTCCACGTCCCCCTCTGCCCAGCGCACTCGGGGAGCGCCAGGGGGAGTCCTCGCAGGCCAGGGCTTCCCGCGCCCCGGGAGCGCGGAGGGCTCGCCTGGCGGAGCTTAGCGCAGCTCGCTCGGCGCTGCCAGCGAGCGCAGCGGGCGGGGGTGGACACTGGGCTTCTGTGTGCCGGCCGCAGCCGTTGGCTGGCGGGCGCCCAATCCCGGGGCATGCCGCCGGAGGCTGGCCAGGACGCACGGTGAAAGACGAGTTTGGTGGCAGGCTTGACATCCCCCCCTACCCCCGTCCCTCCGGGCTGCCCTCAGAAGCCGGCGGCTGGAGCCTCGGCGGTCGGGCCCGCGGCGGCGGGGCTAGGCTAGGCTGCAGCTGCGGGAGCCGGGCCGCCCCGGGGTCCCAGGGAAGGAGGCGGCATGGCTTCGGTGTTCATGTGTGGAGTGGAGGACCTGCTGTTCAGCGGCAGCCGCTTCGTGTGGAACTTGACCGTGTCCACGCTGCGGAGATGGTACACGGAGAGACTGCGGGCTTGCCACCAGGTGCTGCGGACGTGGTGCGGGCTGCGGGACGTGTACCAGGTGAGCCAGGGCGCGCGGCGCCCCGGGGCCCTGGCAGGATGCCGGGCGCTCTTGGGAAGCCGGTTCCACCTGTATGATTTGCTTCTCTCTCTCCCTCCACCTCTCTTTTTTCAAACTCCTAGCGGGCTGCTTGACTCCTGGGTCAAATGTTCAGCATCTGTGGATAACTGTTGCCTGACAAAGCTTGTGATTTTTCCCCACTGGGCACGGGGACACTTGCGAGTTAGTACCAGCATTTGCAGACATCTGTTACAGAGCGATGGTGTACTGCCTGGCACTTAGCTAAGAAAGCTGTTGCTTTGCAGCAGAGGGTCTGCGGGAAGCGACTTAGACATTCAGATGATTCCTCCTTTTTCGTAAGGGGTGGATGGAGGGGGGAGCATTTCGGGACCTAGGATTTCACACCAATTTTTGGTCAGAGGGGCCTTGCTGGATTTGCATTCTTTCTTTTGATTTTATTTCAGTTTTCCATCAGGCAGCCCCAACTTGCAAGGCAGAGCCAGGAAAAGCTGATTCTGTGTCTGCTGGCTTTTGGGGGAAGGACAGCAAATTGTGAACACTTTGCAGGAGGATGATGGTTAGGGTAGGGAGGGGTTGCCTGGTGGAAGGTTGGAATGCTTACCTTCGGGTTTACTCCCCTCACACAACACAGCCTCTTTATTTCTCTGCTAGGTCCCATTCTGCAGGCAAAAAATGCAGCAACTTTGTTCAACTAGGAAACCATTCATGTTCTCTGGGACTGCAGCTTCCCTGGATTTTTTTTTTTTTCTTTTTGACAGTCATTTGTGGATTTAAAAGTCCTTTGCTTGGGTTGGTTAATATCTTCGAGGTTTAAAAAAAAATCTGCATTGCATTTAGGAAGATTATACCTAGTGTTTACTATGGGACTATAGCATCACATTTCCTTCCCTGTGATGTGGAAATAGCTCTGTTACAGCTCCTGGATTCCCCCTACCCTGACCGCATGCCCACTATGGCTATCATTTATATCTCATTGTACTGAGTCCTCTATGTGATCAAGCCTCTGGTTTTGACAAGCTGTAGTCTTCCATCCATCAAGCAAAGTGAAAAGAGCAGCACCTGAGGTTAAAGGGGGGGGGCGTTCACGGCGGGGGGGTTGTAAAGAATCAGCATCCCCTTGTCATCGTTGATGTCCATATCATCCTTGTTACAATGTGAGCAGCATTTACTTCATGCTTTCAGGACTCCTGCTTTAGAGAACACGTCTGTGATGTCTTGCATTTTGGGAGAATCCAAAAGCCAGGCTGAGACGCAGGACAGCCCATGGGAGTTGAGAGTATTATGGAGCTGTGGACATATCCCCTCTGGCCACGGTACACAGATCACCTAGCCTTTTAGAGCCAGATGTGTCTGCCTCTCAGCCTTTTTGTCTTTCGGGAAATCATTGTTGCGTTGGTCTGTAGGAGAAGTGACCCCCATAGAGTTTTGTTTTTGCTTTTTAATGTTGGAGAAACTTTTTAAAAGGAGAACAGGAATATTAGAGCCAACCAGACAGCCTCTATGCATCTCTCCCCAAGGTTCAGGGGACATATAGCTTATTTCTTTGCTATTAGTGACTAATTAGGTTAGGTTCCTGAGTCCTGAGACCCCCCCCATGGGTTCTTTATAAGTTTTATCAATCATTATTTGTAAGCAGAACAACAACTTGAAGGACTATCCTACTAAGTTGTAAGTTTTCTCTTCTGTAAAATGGATGGTGACTGAGCCAGTACCTTTTCATGATAATAAGAAAGGACATCTGATATAATGGTGGCCATTTTTATGAGTATAGTCATAAGTAGGAAATGATCTCTAAGTTTAAAGTTTCTTGTGCTTTGGGAGAAGTAAGAATTCTTAAAATATTTTAAAACTTGGGAGAATCATAGGTTTCTTAATTGCACAACACAAGTTAATTGCTAGCAAAGAAACACCATTTTCATTAATGCCTTTTAAATACTGAGCAAGAAAGTAGTGACTTAAATTGTATTGAACTGAAAGGCAGTAAAATAAAGTGGTTAATACCTTAGGCTCCAAGTCAGACACAGGGATAAATCCAACCTTTGCCTATGTTTGATCATACATAAGTTACTTTATCTTATCCTGATTCAGTTTATCATTTATAAAATGGGAAATACAATAGTACTAATCACAGAGGTTGATGAAAGAATTAATTGACACATAAGATATTTAGCACAGTACCTAGAGTTTAGGAAGCATTCAGTAAATGTTATCTGCTCTGTCATTTGGGATTTATAGTAGTAGGAAACCCAACTCTAACCTACAAAATAAAAAGAAGGGACTTATGACAAACCGAAATGTTTAGTAGTTGAATGAACTTCAGGTATGGTTTGATCCAGGTACGATGCTTGTTGCCCATGATTCTTTCAGCCTTGTCTTGTTCATGTATTGGCTTTTGCTCTAGCTGGTTTCTTCCCTCATGATAGCAGATAGCTGCAGCAATTCCACAGCTGAGATCCACATATGAACCCATCCAGAAAGAAAAAACATTTCTCATCTCCACCAGCTATCAAAAAAAAAAAAAAAGTTCCCAGTTTGCACTCTGATAGGTTAACTTAGGGTCGGTGCCCTCCCCCAGTGCCTGCACTGAATGGCACAGGGAATGGGATTATAATTCAGGCATTCTCAGTGGGAGTGATAGGACCCCCAAGAAGCAAAAATTATTTCTTGGGAGTGGGGGCAAGGCACAAAAAAATCTTACTCTTCTTGTGTATAAAACACAGATATCCATACCTAAACAGATACACAGTATACTTTCGGCATTAGAATTTGCAGGGGGTGGGGATGACTAGCAAACAAAAAACTATCTACAAGGCTCCTTAAGACTCTGATAATGAATATAACTGTTGAGAAACACTAATTACACTGATGTGCTTAGGCCAGTGGGGAACAGACCCATTTCTGCAGCTGGGCACGAGGTCAGTCCCAGGCAGACCACATAGCTGCCAAACAATGGGGGAGGGTCAGTGCTCGGTTGGGGGGCAATCCGCAATGTCCACTGCACCTGCCTTCTTAGAATCTCAAATCTAGAGCTCTTTAAACAAAATATTTTTCTAGGTAAGTACAAAGATTAATGGCAAACACATTTCCAAGTATTTTGCCACAGTAATTCAAGTTAACGGGGTGGGGGCTCATCATTATTAAAACACCCTTATTGCTATCTAATAATTATGATTTCTAAATCAATGTTCAGTGGTCCTGCCCGGTCTACTGGCACATGAACTGGAAACACCATAGGGTTACATATTTTATTGAACCCCATTTTTTTATCATCTTGGTAATAAAAAAGGTGTCATTCTTCTTGCTTTTGGGCTGAATAGTCTTTGTGGGAAATCCAGGGCTCAGTCACTCCAGAGAGAAATAAGGGTGGTGCGGGAGGTATTCGTTACATGAAATACCTCGCAGTTCCCAGGGGGTATTTTGTTTATTCATATACTATAAGTGAAATAAGATCCTCCACCTATTCATACGGAATTTGGCAACAACATCATTGCCTGGCTGGTACAGCTGGGAAGGCATAATTTCTTTGGAATTGAACACTTCCTCTACCTCTAGATACTGGAGAGGCATGAGACTTAATTTGCCAAAAACCATGAATAATTAAGAGACTAGCTATAAGGCATTTCTGTAGTAACACGACTAAATAAAGAGCGGGCAGAAGCTGTACTAGGGCTGCCTTTGAACAAAGACTTACTTTATGAGTGAAGGTTTGAATTTGGTTCAAGTCGCAGGCTGGGACATTCACCTTCAATTTGGGACAAAATCTTAAAAGCTGATTCATCCGCCATATATCTATCCTGCTAATATCTTGCCTGGATGGGTTCCGTTATAGCAATTAATTAAGTTTAACAAACAACTGAGGTGGAAAATGATGGGAGAATGTGGCTGAAAAAAATCAACACCCTTTGCTTTTTATTCAGTGTGACATGTTCTAACAAAGCCCTCAGTTGGTTACTTGGGATTAAGTTTTCCCCTCATCCCCAACACCTCAAAGGTAGAATTTCTTGCTAACCCTGAATGGAGTGGTTGTCTCCAGCAGGAGGTAACGTGGACAGAATCTGAGATATTTAAGTGACCGTAAGAGGCTGGGTCAGCTCCCCTGAGGCAGGCAGTTGGCCCCGAGGGGTAGCAGACAGAGCAGACCAGGCAGAGGCTGTAGGCTCTGAGTTTAGCAACTTTGACCTTGACCAAATTGCTTTCCCTCTTTGAGCCTCCTGGGTAAAAGGGGAGAACTTTAGTACCTGCATAATGGGCAGGATGAAAAATTCATGAGATAATATCTATAACACTGAACATCCTGCCTGGCACAAGCAAATGCTCAATTAATGTTAGCTCTTGGGTATGTATGGTACTTAACACCAGACCCATAAAAGGTCCTTGATGAAGGGTAAGGCTAAGGGAATTACTATTGTTTTTATAAGTGATACTAGTTCTGTGGAAACTAAATTCCCATCTTTGCAGGCAAGGATGTTAAGGAAGAGAGACTGTGTATAGGGTGAGCCTTGGGATTTGCTCTTGTAAGCCAATACAAAAACTCTAGGAGATCATAGACAGCTCCCATTAGGGTCTCTAAGGAAATAATCTCTCTATATCCAAGACTCTGATGATCCATAAACTGGTAACACATGAACTTTGCCTCCCACTGCATTGGCTGGGAAAGACCAACTCCCCCAAAAGAAAAGTTCCCCATTGAGCATTCTGTGGCCTGTGTGCATCTCAAACCATGTATATTTTGCTTGTCCCCAGCCTTCACTCTCCACAGCCCTCTGAATTACACAGACTAGAAGAGGGGCGGACAAACTGCGACCCACAGGAGAAAACTGTCCTGTCTCTCGTTTTTGTAAATAAAGTTTTATTGGCACACAGCCCTGCTCATTCATGTACATGTTGTCTATGGCTGCTTTTGCATTACGGTGGCAGAATTGAGTCGTTGTGCCTTAACTACTACAGCCGAGTAGTTGACAAAAAGACTGTATTGGCCA